AACAGTTAAGTTCCAAGACTTTTAATTATGTTCGAAAACTAACAGTTCGGACGCGGTTTCGATTCCATTGAGGCGAATCGACGTTAGTGGGGAGATCTGCAGTTGCCAGTGAAGAGTAAATTTACTAGCAAGCGTGCAATTATTATGAGAAAGAGGTGCCGACGCGCGTATGTGGACACAAGATGAAACCCGTGTAAGACGTTTCGTTTTCGAGAAAGGCCTTTCATTTCGCATTCGGAAAGTAATCGCGATAATTGCCATCGGGCGCCTCGAGTACTCCGGTCGCTCCTGATAACGAACAAGCGGAAATCCATTAAAGAAAATTGCCGGAGCAATTATCCGATCGATGAAAGCACATTTATCCATAATAAAGTCGTCGGGGGTGACGAAACAGGCGACCGTGGCCGGCCACGGCGAAATCTGCGCGCGAGCTTCCCTTCGAGGCCTTCGAGATGTACCCAGTGGGAACATTAACGTCGAATCGACGTCAATGGAGTCGAAATCGCGTTCCAGTTGTCAGTTTTCGAAAATAATGAAAAGTTCGGAACTTAATTTTGCGTATTAAATAAGTTGGCAGTTCTCGTCCATAAAATGTTAAAAATATTCAGAACGCAGTGATTTAATACAAAAAATAAACGAATTAATAAAATTCGTATATGGCTCAAACGTGATAAACACAAATTTGAAGGAATAGAGGACTAAGAGCCGTGACAGGGTGTTAGTGTCTAAATATTCCATGTTTTAAATTTACTGCGAAAAATATTACCTCAGCCAGGGTGTGCACCTGGACAAAAGGTAGAGCTCCGAAACTTAATTATTTTCGAAAACTGATGGCCGTAACGCGGTTTCGACGCCATTGACGTCGACTCGACGTTGATTCGACTTCAATGTTCTCGCTGGGCAGCTGACAACGAAATACTATCAAGTGTAATATCGGTCCCGCGACGCCGCTTTCACGGGTGACGTTTAACCCCGGAGAAGGATATACGCGATCTTTTGTATCGCGGACATATCGCGGAGACTGCGCCGCGCGAGATTGCACGAGGAAAACGATTGGAGGTAACGGAAAACGCCCGGGTTTCGACATCGATTTGTATGCCGCGGCGCTCGCGTGTCCGCGGGACCTGGAAACGAACGTTTCGCGGGTACGTTAATACCTCGTGCGAACGCTCGTGCGTCTACCACGCGGCCGGGAGCCTGCTTTATTTAATTACAAAATTCTTCGCGGATTCTTACGTGCGCACGCGCGCGCGCGCGCCAGTTGATGGCTCGTCGAAAGGGCGCGCTTTATAGCGAATTCGGTTGGTTGCACCGGTGTGCACTGAGTGCGCACTAAGCCTTGTTTCCAGTCAATTTTGATATTTAAGGGGATGCTGGAGTGATTCTGCACTTTTGCACCTTTCTAACCTAAAAATTATCAGTTCGCGGAAACACTTGTGTAATACACAAATTAAATGACTTACGTGTACAGATCGAAAGCAGCTTGCTATTCCGGCCAAATGAAAGAACAATATGGCATCACTGAAACTAAATTTGTAAGTCTAATAAGAAATAATAGTGAGCAACATATAGGGTAAAGGCGGGCATTATGGCCAGGCGGGTAATATCGCCACAACGCCCGTATTAAATATTCTAAACATTGATAAACATCGATAATGTATAAAAACCAATTATTGTAGCTATTCTTGAAGTTTGGTAACAAAAATCTCTCTATTTTGTTGTTATTTGTGGTTTGGTGCTTCATTGTTCTCCATAACCATCAAAATATACACGTCAAAGTGAGACATGGCACTTCCAACTAAGTAAGATTTTCAAATTAAAACAAAATAATTTTGGCTTTTCTCATTACACATTTCAAAACCTGAACCTTGGCTATATTTTTATAATAAATTTATCGTGCTTTGCCCATTATTTTGATAATTATAATGCACATTATTAAATGTATGCTCGGCGGCTAATATGGCCAGCGACAAAGGTAGCTAATATGGCCAGCGAGTACAACAGAGTGTAGAGTACGCCAGTGCTGAGAGTGATAACAGCGAAGAAAGAAAATAGTTATTTCTCACAATTTATTAGTAAATTGTGAGAGCACGGCGTTACGTAGAGAGAGTGGACATACACATACACATTTCTTAAATGTGTACTCGTATGTTTAAAATATTTCAAAGTTTATGTTCTGTACGATTAAAGTAATACTTTACGATTAAAGTAAATGGCTCTTAAACTAAATACCTCACTTTTGCACAATATTACTGTTTTGTACACTTTTTTTATAGTTGGCCATATTATCCACCCCACGTTTAATATGGCCAAAACGCATACTTTCAGATTCTTTTTTTTTTCTTCGAATATGGATAGATTTTTATTGATCAAAACATTTTGTCATCAAAGCTTATTAAATACACTAGAATTTCAGAAAGTTACAAAATAAAAAACCAGCGGCTTGAAAATTATGACCTCAAATCAAAACTATGGCCATAATACCCGCCTTTACCCTACATACAGTACATGTAGTGTGTGTGTGTGTTGCTCACTATTATTTTTTATTAGACTTACAAACTTAGTTTCAGTGATGTCATACTGTTCTTTAATTTAGCCGGAATAGCAAGCTGCTTTCGATCATCTGTACATGTGCCATTTAATTTGTGTATTACACAAATCTTTCCACGAAACAGACAGTTTTAAGTGCAAAAGGTGCGAAAGTACAGAATCACTCCAGCACTCCCTTAAATACCTCTCGCAATATTTCTTATCCAGAAAAAATGGCTCATACAACGTTTACACGGATCATTTTTTTATTTTTTTTCGGAATCTCCCGGAGGAAAGTGACAGTCACCGAGAGTATCTTGCCACACATACTCCTTTTAGGGGTACAGCCCTCCAGATTGGAGGTTTCCTTCGGCAGGGTTAGCAGCCTACCGAAGATTAAGTAAATGTTCAAAGTACCAGTTCGTTCTGGTACAGAACTGGTGCAGAACGAACTGGATAAAACAGGCTTTTAAGCCTAACACGACGAAGAAGAAGAATAATAAGAAGAAGATTTTTTGATTAAATACTCTTTGAACATGTATTTAAGCCAAAGTTAAATATAAGAACTGACTACAAACAAGCCTCAGTGCGCACTAATGCAAGCAACCGAATTCGCTATTAGATCTCCAGAGAAAGTGATTAGCGCGACGATAGCCAGCCGCTCGGCCAGTTCATTCATGCATACGAAAATACCTGCACGTGCACACGCCTGGAACCCGGATTCTGGCTCGAATTATACGAGCGCGCGTATAATTCATGTACGTGTCGTTTCATCAACCCAAAGTACATCCCAGGGACACGAGCGACAGCGCGACAGGGAGTTCGTCACCCTCGCGCATTCAATTTAACTTTTGTACACGCGCAGCGCAATATTCGCGCGTCTTCGCTCGACTATTTCCTATCCCGCCGGAATTTACGATTACGGTATATCTAATGCTCTTACGCCTTCAACCATACTTTCCGGTCTATTGAGGATATCGACGTTCCATAACATACGGGTGATATACCTAATAAGGGGGACTCGTAGAAGAATTACGAGGTAAAATAGAGCTCGTCGCGCGCAATGCATCACGCAAAATATACAAGGTGACTCTGAAAGACCGCCCACTAATTACTCAGCGTTGTTTCTCATTAAAGACCGAGTCGACAAGTCCTGAACTATTTTTTTCTGCAGTGCTTAATACAAAAAAAATGTTAAGTCGAAACGAATTAGCGCCGATCTTTAGGGAGCACGTCAATGAACCACGCGCCTAGTAGTGTTTTTTTTTAAGCCCGGCTAAAGGCCCGAACACACGAAAAAACTTAAGACTCGAGGGAAATGACCAATGACTGCCGAGAGCGTAAGCAGCCGTTTTGAAACTTGGACAATGCTGAAAATTCCGATTGGTTGAGATTCTTAGGTCTTAAGTTTTACTGCTTCAGTTTTTCGCGTGCTCGGGCCTTAAAGATCGACGCTTAATAATAATAATTCCTTTATTAAACATTACAGAGAAAAATGGTTCAGGGCTTTTCGATCTCAGTTTCCAATAAGAGACAACACTGTGTAATTGGTGGACGGTCTTTCAGAGCCACCCTGTATAACTTTGCATTGTACAGTCCGCTGTAGAAAAAAAGAGTAAATGTCGCCAAATCGTTGGCCCAAATTTATGTCGCGTGCGATATCTTGGGGTGCGAAAGGAAACGTCTCGTTAGGATACATTACGTTTACGAAGAGCCGTTTACATAAATAAAGAGATGCCCGTTTTATGCTTCGCATGCTGAAAAATGCGAAACGAATCTGTCGTTCAGAATAGTCGAAACGTTTAGTTCTAGTAGAATTATAAATCACGATTAAACGTATGCCAAATAAAACTCATAAACGAGATTATTCTACATTAATGTAGCTCGTGTGTAGAACATGAGAAACTACTTCCTCGTCATAAATTATAAAAGATCGCCCTTTTGCCGAGTCCATTTTGTACGTCGTTGCTTTCGCGCGGTCTCTTTCGTTCATTTTACACGTGTGTAAATTAAACTTTTCAAATCCGAGTGTTTTACAAAAAGGGCCTATTACGCTCCCTCTGTCGGGACCGTTATTTTAGTATGTGGGTTATATCATACAGTGGGAATTGCCGCGTAACACGAACAATGCACGAAGCACTTGGCTCTTGTAACAATGCAACCGCGAGACACGGCACAGACGATTTCGCTGGCGTTTTGAGCGTCGCGTGCAATGCATCACGCAAAATATATAACTTTGCGTTGTACAATCTGCCGCTGCTGCTGCAAAAAAGAGCAAATATCGCCGAATCGTCGGTCCAAATTTATATCGCGTGCGATGTGGGATATCTTGGAGTGCGAGGGGAAACGTCTCGTTAGGATACCTCATTACGTCTGTAATGAGCGGTTTACATAGGGAAAAAGGAACGGAGAAGCGAGACAAGTTCGCGGGTAGCAAGATGCCGCTCAAGAAAATAAAGTGTGTCGTACTCACATGTATATATATTCTTTTATTTTTTTTTCTCTTTCTATTCCGATCGCACAAACAGGCGCACAAAATTCTGGAGGAATTCCACGGTGAACATCGCGTAAAATCCATAACACGTTACAACATTGTTTATTTCAATATTTCATTGGTATCCGTGCATCCATCTCACGCACGCGTAATATTTGTTTGTTTAAATTAACGACGAGTCTCTTTTTACCACACACCACGCACCTATGCAAGAATTAACGTACCGGTAGTAATTTAAGTGGTAACACATACCTCGGTAGTAAAGAACGCGCGGTAAGAATTGCGGTTTAAAAAATTATTCGGTCAATCGCGTATACCAACGTCAATTCTGGCCGGAACTTGATTATCGAGATTCGCAAGTCGCGAGTGTTACGTTAATGCCGACTGGAATTCGCGCGGCTCGCGCATGCGCGCGCGCGCGCGTTACATTTTTTCTACGAGATTTTATTCGGCATTCACGCAGAGATTTCGCTACTCCGTGCGTCCGTTACAATTGTCGTTAATCGAAATAAATGTTTCCCCGTTCAGCGGCATTCATCACGGCGTAGGTACATAATTAGATACATAATCGTCCATCGATTCGATTCGATGCACTCATTACTCGCATACCAGTCACTTGCTGTGCATACACGCACGTATGTTCGTCCTGTTCATTAATTGATTTTGCATGCACACACCCAAGCGGCGGACTCACAGGAGCGCTCATTCGATTTGCACATTCCAGAGATGCGAGCGGAGCTCCTCCCAGATTTCTTCCTGTACTTGCGTTATTTGGAGAAATTTCTTTTTTCCCTGTTTTGTAACACGGGAGTTTCGTATAATGCTGCAACGTACGAATTTGCCGTTCGCTTCGCGCTTGCGTTGCAAGCCTCCCGCATCTGTCTCTCACAAGTGACAGATTACAAGCAGATCAAATAAATGTTACATCCATTCCGCGCTGAAATACTCGTAGAAACAACGACTGCGCTCGAAATGTGTGTGTGTGAATCCATAGAGCGGGAGCTCGTAACAAAAAGGGAGATTTATCTTTTATTTAACATGATTCGCATTTTTTCGCTACGCCCATTTCAAGAGATGAAATCCACGCTCCTATAGGAGCAAATTTTAGTAAATTTCTTTGCGAAACGTAAGCTGCAAATTTAACGATTCGCTTAATTTATAAATTAAATTTTATAAAACTTCATAGCGCAAACAAGTTGCCTTGCCTACGTATTGTTAGAATAGTTTTCTCGAGGAAAAAAAAATTCCTCCGGGAAGTCCCTTCTAGAATTTCTGTAGAATTTTGCACTTGCTGAAACGACGATAACAACGGTCTGCTGAACGGTGTAGCGATTCAATTGACATCAATTTTCACTAAATCCAACATCGCGACGATGAACGCGTTTTATAAAACGGCACGTTATATCGCACCAGGTATTATTTGTTTCCGTGCCATCCTAGGTTATATTGTAACCAGTCTATTTTCTATTTTCGTTCGAATTCGAAAATATTTCCCTCGAGCCCGAGCGCGGCGTCGTGTTTCCCGTCGCACCCTATGATACAACACATGATTTCCCTTTTTGCAACACGCGCATATGTACGTCGCCTGTATTTTTCCAAACGTAAAATATACAGCGTGCGCGTGATTCGAGTCCTCCGCTCTTATGAAATCGCGATATCTCTGCGAATACGTGAAAAATTAATGTTAATAACTAAATGCTAATTTTATTATTGAGATACTAGTAAGAAAAAAATTTACCATCGACAACGTATGCGACGAGATATCGTCGGGGGCTCGCGACGGCTGTGGAATGGAATTACATCGTTCTCGCCGAGAGAGTACTCGTGTTTTGAATCTTCTTTGGGGAAAGAAATTATTTCTGGACTCGCGGACATGGAAGAAATTGGCGTTGTACGAGAAATAATTCTCTGAACTGGGGAAAGAGGAAAGCTCCGCCGGCAATACACTACCACGCACAAAAACGAGTATCGCTGTATTGCTATACTTGTAAATCACAACCAGCCGAGTATCAGTTTATTAACTAGGTGTGTATATATATATATATCTTTTTTTTATTTATTATACGTATCTAGAACTGTATTCTTTGTATCGAGCGACCAGGCTCGATCCACAACGCGGAATTCTCGCGCGTCGCGAATCGTTTCGCAGCGCCCAAAATATCATTTGGTAAATCATTCCTTAACGATCCTGTTATTATTAAAAAAAAATACGAGATCGCTCGACTCGTGTCAAGGGAGGAGATTTGAAAGCGAGCTGCGTACCGACTCGCGAAACACTCGTGCGAGAATCGCACTGCTGATACGTATATTAATATAATGCGCGATATAATATACAATATATAATATAATATCATAAACTACGTATTTTGAGATTCCTACCCAAGATACCGGTGTCCGAAGAATCCGACGCTACCTCACGCAGCGAGATAATGTGAGAAGAGTCCTTTTCAACAAGAAGAAGGGACATCGGAGATGGTGCGGAGGAAGGAAAATGCCATAATAAACTTTATGTCGTTTTCACCTTTAAAACGCGATAAATACGTTATTTTGGCACTTATTAATATCTTCGCGAAAGTAACACGAAGGGAAAAGATCGTTCAAGCTCAAGTGACAAATTTTCTCTCGTATTGCACATATACACGTATAAAAAGAAGGAAAAAGGAGCAGCGGTGGTGTTAATCAGCTGGCTTTACGCCGTTTAAAGACTTTCCCCGCACTTGAAATTCGCGCGTTCGCAAGAGAGTCGAATCGAACGATTAAATTTCCACGCGGGCGCTCGCACCAAAGTCCGCGGGAATTTCATCTAAATAAAAAAAATGGTGCGAAACGAGCGCCGCGGCGTTTTAGGCATGCGCAAAGGCGTGGGCTTTTTTTTCACGCAAATGGAAATTGATGCGACGGCTCGGATGAAAACGCGATCCCGGAAGGCTCAGAACTACCTGTAGCGTTTTGGCGAGGTTACGAGGGGGGGGGGGAGGGGAAAAATGGGAGAAGCTGCACGATGCACTATATCTACTATTTAAAAACGACCGGAGAGTCCGGTAGCGTCGGCCCTCTTTCTTTCGCTCCCTTTCTCCATCTCTTGGGTAGGAGGCAACGCTGCATCGAAGAGTATAACTCGAGTAAAGAAATGTTCCCTATCCTAGTAATTAAAAATCTTATGTCGCTCGTAGCACGGCTACGAACGTGTTCTCACAACCTTATCACAACCTTATTATAGAGTGCCCTGGTGACGAGCTTACCACCGAGTCGTACGATCGTCCGCGATCTAGTTTTTCCTCGCCCTTCCGACCTAGAAGCTCACCTCAATCCGTCCGTTTGGCGCGGCACTCGAGGAGATGGCGGATTTCTCGTCGCCTGTTCCCTCGTTTTTACCCTTAGAGATACTTTAAATTGTATTGTGGTCATATAAATAGTACTTCGCGTATATATGAATGTACGTGTGTGTGTGTGTGTGTGTGTGTGTGTGTGTGAGTGTGTGTGGGCGTGACGTGTGTGCGTGTACGTGTGTGCGTGTACGCGGATCTATCCGGTATCCCGTAATCACCGACGCGTGGCCTCATTGACCGGCGACAGAGGGAGAGACGCGAGAATGGGATATTCACTTGAGACCCGTAAACTCCTCCGAAAGCCACTCTTAATAGCGAAAAGTCTCGACAATCGGGGAATCATTTCCGATCCCGCGTGTCCGCCTCAAGAATTTTCAATGAAATACATATAGTCCCCGTTCGATACTCGCCGCGCAACGGCGAAAGTTTGTCAGCGAAAAGTTGCGACTCGCGGTGGATATAAATGAATGTTTGGACGACGAGTCGAGATGAAGAATTGTGTAAATCATGACGCGGCCATTAGGGTCGCGAAAGTTGGATATTAAAAAGTTGGAGCGAACGACGGCCCGCCGTCCGGGGTTCTGAGGAAAAACCGGCTATTAATAAGCTAAGAGAGCCGTCATTATAATAAATAGCGGTGATTCCGGGAAACTTTTGTAGCGGTACGTGACGATATAATCGCGTGTCAACGTGAATACGTCGGGAGGCGGTTTAAAGTGTGACTTTATGCGCCGCGCCGCGCCGCGAAACCGCAGAGATTTCGCGGCCCGGCGTTGTTAACGTTACGCCCTGAATAAACGGCCGCCTCGGTGGTGACTGAACGAATGTTAGGCTGATTAGGCAGAGAGCGATCTGTAAACGCTTAAGATTGTCTTAACCGTAGACGCAAGGCAGGGCGGTGAGGAACGTAAGTCGTGAAAGGAAAATATTGTATACGACTTGCGTTTTTCCCCGCCTTGCCTTAACGTCTGCTAAAGCCTACGGCACGCGATACTGTTTTTCCCCACTGGATTGCTTACGAGAGCCAATCGGGATTTAGCCCCGAGTCACCTGATCGAAAACTCTGCATCCAAAAGGGATTAAATCGAATAGAGACAACTATTATAAAAAAAACTGCCCAGATCAACAATTACTTCAGTTTAGTTCGGCTTAATTTCGTTAGCTGATAAGAAAATTTGCCCAAGTGGTCGAATTGGCGAGACGCCCCCTAGAGTGTAGGGGAGTCCCCAGCTTCTGTATTTTCTGTATTATTAAAAATGTCAGATATGGTCAGGAAAATACTAAAGTTGTCAATTCAGTTGGTTTAATGTTTATGAGCGTTTTACCCGTGTGAGGCAAGAACCTAGAAAACTATAGATAACCCGAGGATAGGACCTTGATAAACAATCTTTAGATATCGTGACAATATCATCTGCAAAAGTTGAGCCCAATCGAAGGGGTGTCCCAAGAACAACCCTGCACCCATATTGGCTCTGGTAAACAGTCCAGTATGAAAAATAGTATCGTCATAGAATGTTCACTCGGCCCTTTGGTCTTTTCGCTCCCGATCACGTGGTATTCCGCCATGTCAATGGTCCAAACCCAGCGGCGTATGTGTGTGTGTGTACCAGAGACTTCTATATACTACCAGACTGCTACCTTCGAGCAGAAAAGGGAGGCAAGAGCACCGCCATATCTTGTAGGGTAAATGAAACAGCGTGCGCACGTCTATGTGTCTAGCATGTCAGCAGAAGTACAACAAAATCTACTAACTTAATTGGACCTGTTCGGATTCTGCCGACAATCTATTGACAGCACTGTTCTGACGCCAATCTGCTAACATTTCGCCAACTGGGTAGAAGTCTGTGGTGTGTACGTACTGTAGCTGTATGGCGTGGTCAAGCGTATCAGAGCTACGCTGCTACACACACGACTTCTCTCTCGTTGGCTGGACCAACGAGATGTCGGACGCGCAGAAAGGATCGACGCAAAGCGAAACGAATGATAGAGTGAGCATGCTAATAACACGTATGATATCGTGGCTACAGTTTTAAGCGTTCACGGATCGTTCTCTGCCATCAGCCTTACGCTGCTCTCCTTACGCTACGTGGCCCCCGCGATCGCGGGGCTCCATGGGCTTAGCTAGTATTAATTATTCACAACCGTAATACTTGCAATTGTTAACGTTCGGTGGACGTACGCACGTCTACCGTGTCTAAAACCTAAAAAGAAAAAAAAAGAAAAAGAAAAACACCGCACGCACGATCATTTCTCCGTTGTCGTTGGTGGAAGAAAAGCACGTTCCTTTCTGTCGCCGTGCGCGATGCGCGTTCGCCGAACCGACAGACAGTTACTCGACGTTCTACGGAGACACATCTTGTTCGCTCTTTCTCGCTTTGCGGCCCGGGAGACGGAAACTGTGCGCGCGACGAGGAAAGGAACGACGGCGGCTTCTCTCGAGACTCCCCCCCCCCTCCGATGACCCCGATTCCATTACAATCCGGTATCGAGCATTATTGATCTAGCGATAAATCGCATTCACACGCTCGCGCGCGCCAAATTCTATCATTAATCATCCTCCAGCGCAACTAGATTGATCATCGAAAACCGCGGGAGGAGGGAAAATTCATTCGGAGCTGACGTAGCTTTGCATAATGATATTCGGGGAAGGCGGTCGCCGACCAACACAGGAAGCATAATTTCCCTTATCACTCCCGCGAGAAAGTTTCCCTTCAACTCTCGCCCTTGAAAGCTCTTCAGGGGCGGATTAGCGCCGGGCCGGCTGCCAATCTTGATTGCGACGCGCACACCTCGCCGGGCGATACCGTATCCATTTTCGCAACGTCTTCCCGGGATCCCTGATAAATTTTCAGGCAAGTTCCGACGGTAAGTGCACATCGCTCTTCGGGCTCTCTCGGAGCCGCGGCAATCCGTTATACCAGTTGAAGGAAATTTTCAAGATTCTTACGTCGCTCGAGTCTTCGTTTCGCAAAAAAGAATCTACCTTTAAAGTCGCGTGATATAATTCGGAAACTTTGTAAACGTTTGATTTAAGGACCGAGCGTCAGAGAGGGGGGGGGGGTGGATCGAGTCTACCGATTCCCTCAGTCATTTTTGCGCCGAATTGACTTTTAATCAACGAAACTTGACGCACGCTTCTTTCTCCCCTTCGACGCGAGCAGCGCAGTGCGTTATTGCGTTATTGTTCCTTCGGTAGGGAAAATTACGGCCGCCCTTTCTTCACCGCTACACGTCGGGTAGAGACACGAATCGCCCGCGCTAACGGGATCGATATCTTAATTAAACGCGGTAGTCGAAAATAAATTATCGAGTTTCGTAGGGTTGGTTCGTAACTTGGCGTAAAACGGTAATAATCCTGCGAATTTGGTAACTTACTTGCGCTGGAGTTCTCGCTCGGCGACGCTTCGCCGTTTCGTAGCTTGTCGTCGCCGCCGTCATCGCCGTCTCTGTGCTGACTGCGTCAAGTTTTGCGCCGCGCGAACATAACGAGCTGCGCGCGAACGAGCGAACGGGGTGAGCGAGGCGTCTACAAGTTGCCGTTAATTACCGGCGTATCGGCATCCCGGCGCGACACGACGAGCGACGCGCTTTTCCCCCTGGACGAAGAACTTACTTAACGACTCCCGTTGGCTAGCAGACGGATAATCCCGCGAGTATAGAAGTCGTGGCGCAGAGGCTGGTTACGTCCCGATCGCGATCGGCGAGAGGGACGCGGACGGCCGGACGCCGAAACGGAATGACGACGAGGATCCCCCTCGTCCGCCGAAAGCCGCGAGACGGGCTCGCGAGGACTCAACGGATTCGCAGCAGCCGCCTAAACGCCCTTCTATAGTCGAGATTGAAGATGGTGTAGATGAGGGGGTTGAGAGCGCTGTTGACGTAGCCGAGCCAGGTGATGAAGTACACCATCCTGTCGGACGGGCAGCAGGCCGGGCAGAACGGCACGATAACGTACATGAGGAAGAACGGCAGCCAGCAGACGACGAAGACGCCCATGATGACGCCCAGGGTCCTCGCCGCGCGTCTCTCCTTGGACAAGGAGATCCGCTGTCGCTCCTCGATGAACTGGTAGACGGTGGTCGAGGTGGCGGGAAGGGCGTCGCCGGCGCCGGCACCCCGTCTGGTCGACGCGGTCGTGCGACGATCGGCGTCGCCTATCGTCACCTCGGTCGGCTCGTCGTCGATCAGCGACGGCTTCGCCTGCAGACGGGGCGTCGAGCGCTCATTGTGATTCGTCTCCGAGCTGACCGACTCCTCGGCGTCGTCGGTCTCGCGGTGCCTGGTCGACTGCACCGGGCCCAGCCTGCTCTGTCGGGCCCGTTCCCGCAGCCTCCTGCGCGTCGCCAGGAAGATCTCCAGGTAAACCAGGCTCATCAATAGTAACGGTATGAAGAAGGAGCCCAGGGACGAGTATATGACGTAGCCCTGCCGTCTGGTCAGCTGGCAGGGCGTGCCTGGCTCCAGTTCCTCCGGCCAGTCGTTCCAACCGGCGAGCGGCGGCGAGCTGATCGCACCCGAGAGAATCCACACGCCGGCGATCGTCCCGAGGACACGCTTGAGGGTGCGTTTCTGAGCGTAATTGATCGGATCGGTGATCGCCCAGTAACGGTCCAGCGCGATGGCGCACAAATTGAGGATACTGGCGGTGCAGCAGAGCACGTCGCATGTCAGCCACAGCTTGCACAGGTGGATACCGAAGATCCACTTGCCTAGCAGCAGGTAGGCTACGTTGAACGGCATCACGAGGATCGCCACCGCGAGGTCCGCCACCGCCAGCGAGACGATGAAGAAGTTCTGGACGATCCGAAGCGGCCGGTACGTGAACACGCTCAGGATCACCAGCGCATTACCGAACACCGTCGCCAGCACGAGGAAGCCCAGGGTCAGCGTGGCCGCCACCGCCTCCCAGGTCGGCAGATTCGAGCCCGTCTCCTCTTCCGGGACGCTGCAGCCTCCGACTTCGTAATCGTCCGACATCGTTCCGCCGGACTCTCCGCTCGAGTTCATGTCGTCCAGGATACCCTCTGCAAGTCAGATCAGTTTAGTATCGCTGCCGAATCAATTCTCCTCTCCTACTCCTACTCCTCTCCCACTGCGCCTCTTTGTTCGTTTTGTCAAACGGTACCAGCGTTTTAACGTGAATCCACAATTCTGATATACCGAAAAGCCGTAGTTTAAATCGGTCGCGATCGGTTTAAATATGCAAAAGGCAATCTGACTTCGGAATCAAGTGTCCAACGAACGAATACGTTTATACAATTGGAACGACATTTGAGCAACGTTCGATATGTGGAATGTAAATTCCCCACGACATAATAGCTCAACTTCACGGAAGCTTTCGAGCAATGCGATCGTAAGGTGCACGTTTCAAACCAAAATTAATACGGGCTTGGCGTTTCTTTCGCGAAATCTTGCACGATCGCGAAAATTGGCTGGCACTCGCCAATCCAATTCGCTTATTTCAGTCAAACTTGTCGACCGGCAATAACGTTGATCTACGAGTTGAGTTTAGCCAGATAGAAACCGTATTAAACTGCTAGAGAGAGAGATATACATGTTTCTCACGCGTGCACGCGCGCGTGTGTGTGCATGCGCGCGAAAGCGATGCAAAAGTTGCGAAAAGTTGGCAATTTTTTTTCGTTGCCGAATCATTCGTCGCTGCGGATCAAAGTGAGTTTCGAAAAATTGTTCCACGACGATTAAAACAAAAATAATAGCAAACAATAGCGTGTTCTTTTCATTGAGCTTAAGGACGTTGATCGGCAAATCGATTTTCTACGTATTTGTTTCAAAGGACGCTATCAATAGTGTTATCTGCATGCCTGCTGAATGTTAAAATCCGTGTCCGTACCAAAGTCGAGATATTCAATATCAAGGTTACTCGTGTGATATAGGCGAAACGTGTTCTACAGAGGCAGTTTAATTTATTGTGATAGAAATTGTTTATGAATTTTGCTAAAAAGTGTAGCGAGCGTGGCGCAGAGAAACGTGCGCTGCCTAGTGAACAAATGAACGGGAGGGATCCGAATTGAAATCCGCCCACGGGTACCGCTGGTTTTTTCGGACGCTACCTCTCTCTCGGAGAAAAGAGTGGCAACTACCGAGAGATTATCCTGCCACACATATCCCTGTCCTCCGAAAAGGGGGTTGGCGAGAGGCTAAAACCCCCTCACCGTAAAAATCCACCGTTGCGAATACACGCAATGAGACTCGGATGGAGGCAATTTGTTGTGAAGGCCCAGGGCCCACTTGGGGCTGTATTGTAATCCGAAAATCTCCATCTGACTATACTTCGAAGCGTGTCGGCCAATACGTTCACAAAGGCAACATTGTCCGACCTTCGTCTTTCACAAAGCGTGCTAGTGTGCACATATAAGACGCAGAGCTGCGTTAATTGTGTACTGCGTGTAATCTACGCTAAAAGTCGTGAAGTAGGGAGACGGTCGCGCTGTACAGGAAAAGAGTCTTCTTAAATCTTCTCTGTCTCCCTCTTCACACGCTTCAGCTTATTCAATGGAACGCTCAGTCTATGTTTACTATGTCTATGATCCAGACAAACTTGCATAAGCACATGCATAAAGAAATTGATTGGTGTACGGGCCATCGCACACAAAATTGCTTAGCTGCATATGCATAGCACGAGAACCGTCTAAACCAATGAGCATCGAGCATTGAGTCGTCATATTGATTTACATAACATGCTCATTGGTCCAGATAGTCTTATGCTATGCATATGCAGTTGTACAATTTTGTGTGCGATGGCCCCATTTCCTCATGCACGCACTTATGGCTCAATCAGATTCCTTATGCGTCTGTTCATGCGCTACGCAAGTTTGTCTGGATAGACCCTTACAGCCGATGAACGTCCTTAAATGAACATTTAGCGCTTGTCCGCCTCTCGTTCTATCTTTTTCTCTAACTCGCCGACGCTTTTACTAGCGAGCAGATAAAATTTCTTCTTTATCGCTGATCAATAATTCTCGTAGATTTATCGTCCATTTGTTTAGACGCATTATTTTTGTGGCAAAGGTAAAAGCGTTTACGTTGCTCAAAATAAATGGGCCCGCGGTCACGGGGTTAAGTAATCATCATTACTCACACGCATATTTCACGGGAAGCCGATCGTTCAGCCGGGTTTTGAAAATGTAACAATAGGTAAAATCGTTAATGTCCCTAATAAATGGCGACATCAAGCATCCAGCGGCGCTTTTTCTCCGCGCCATAAATTATCGGGTCGCAGATTGCGGCACGTATATTCGGCCGCACGCACGGGGTATTATTTTCTGCACGAGAGCCCGGGAGCGCGGTAGGTCTGAAAGCGCGGAAAATGTTTCCATTTTCGTGCCCCCGAGTGTTCAGCAAGCAAGCTCGGCTTTGTCACGCTCCCGGCGCAGGAAACGTCACGTCGCCAATAAAAATACGGGGTTTAACGATACGCGTGTATATAGCACATTCTGACGGGGAAAACGGTCAACGCGGCGAACGCCGGGACGCGCCGGTGGGACACGATTCCGCATTCTCGTGCCCCCCCTCTCCCCCGCCCTCCCCCGATTCGTTAAAGACGCCCTCCTCGATATCGAGCCGTGGCGGGTCAGCCTGAGTCCAGGCTCTTTCTTTCGCTCCGGCGGCACAGATAGCGATCGCGATGCGAAACGGGTCGCGCGGAATAACATTTTTCACGTTCTCCCGCTTCCGCGTAATTACCACATGGAAATCCGGAAAAACATCGCACCCCCTCCGCAGTAACTCCGTTTCGTTTGCCGCTCGTCGTGTCAAAACCGTCGGGTACTTTATCATCCAGGTACTCGGAGAGTGTCTCTTCCTCTCTCTCCTCTCTCTCTCGCTCTCTCGCTC